CTAGTCAGAGGAAATTTGTGTGACTAATGCCAGAACACCATTAACAGATTGTGTTTGATTGGCATATCAAAATTGTTCATTAGCAATTGTGAAAATTGCTCAAACATGACAACAAAGTAAGTTAGCAACATCTGGATTTTTCGGGAGCAGGCGAGAGATAGCAGTGGTCATTGGGTTGTTAATCTCTAAATTAAGTGAATTAACACTGGTGCTTATTATCCTGAGTACAGAAACAACCTGAGACCCTCTCTCTCTCTCTCTCTCTCTCTCTCTCTCTCTCTCTCTCTCCTTTTATAAGATGAGGATTACTGTCTTTTACATACCTACTTAATAAGAAAGATTAAATAGTCCTTTAAGGGGTGGACATAAATAATCACAATTACTCTTAATTTAGCCAGTGGAGCCAGAGCTGAGGAGCTGTGGTTAATGGAGCACACAGTCCCTGCGCTGTCTGAGTGAGCTCCCTCATCCGTGCCACTTGGCTGCATTTTAAGTCAGCACAATCAGGCATCATGGAAGGCAGAGAACTGAATCCTGTCCTCAAGGGATCTTACAACTTCCAGGATCTGGAAGGCTCCCTGGAGGATTTGGGACCAAGGTAAGCCCAAATAGCTTACCAATTTTGTGAGAGACATTTACAGAACTCTTCTTTAAAAGTTTGCACTTATGCCCCCATGGGATGCACAAGATAATTATTTGGAATGCAAAAACAAAATATTAAGACTTCCTCCGTTTGTTTGTACCTTTAAAATAGAGGGAAGAAACTAGTCCATGTTTACTTAATGACGGACAGTAGCACATAAATAAATAAATAGATATAGATAGGTAAAGATTCACATGACAATATGTTACTTGTTTCAAATGTTTCTGATAATGGTATGTGATCAATGAAGTTTGGGGATTCTGACTATACAATTGTGTAGATATATCTTGTCAGTTCTGCTTCCTCAAGTCACTTTGGCCCCCTTGCGTTACTGAGTATTGCCAGGTTGTATTTCCTAATTGTTTCACAGTGGATCATAACAGATGCCCCATCTCATCTGATATGAGTGTCTGCCCTCGTGTGGGGTAAACTCTTGTCCAACCTGTGAAGGGACCTTATTTTACTCTTTATCCAAATAACGACTTTCAACAGATACCCGATTCTCCCAGGTGCTTACACGAGACCTGTTCACCAATCACTCCGGTACAGCCTGGCCTACTGAATGCAAGGGTGTTGTAGTCCAGAATACCTCCAGACATTGAACTCATAACAGGGAGTGTTATGAGTGGCCTCTCCCATCCAGATAGTCCCTTTTTCTACTCAGAGCGCAGTGTAGGGTTGACTGGAAACCTCCAGAATTTGAGTCTGGAGAGGGAGCATTTGGGTCCAGAGAAGGGTTCTGCCTTCTCTGAATATCCCAGTCTCCAGAGAGTCTCCTGATCCAGACCAGGTCCATTGAGATATATGAGATACGGAACACTGACCTAAACAACTCTGTGTTCTCTACTCAGTGCTGATTCATGGGACAGGGACGGACTCAGAAGCCAAGTCAAGGAAATATAATCTGTCGTGTTAGCTCCTCCTCCCACAGCTGCCAGCCTGGGTCATCCCCATTTAACATCCTCAAGTGTCCTACACAGATCACCTCTCACCATTCTGATCGATGCGGCTTTCTTACTTCCCATAGAAGAAGCCACTATGTCCTCAAATCCAATTCATGACCGTGAACTTACTTTTGTCAGATAATTTGTCATTATTCTCCTTGTACATCCTAACATTAATAATAATGGTAATAGCACTAACACATGGTGCTTACTATGTACCAAACCTTGCTCCTTAAGTGCTTTACGTATAGTGACTTTAACCCTCAAGACAACCCTCTGAGGAAGGTACTATTTTTTCCCCACTTTACACATAAGTAAACTAAAGTATAGACAGATTAAGTATAACTTGCCAAGGTCACACAGCTAACAAGTGACACAAATAAGGAAAATGAACCCCAACTGTTCACGAATTCCATGTTCTTAAGTACTGCATGACACCACTTATCCCAGCATTATTTGTTCTCTTGTACTACTACTTATAAGGCAAAACATCATTCTTTAACTGTCTCAAAGCAATTTTTCTTCCACTCCTTCCACTTTAGGATACATATTCTTCTTAGATTTCTTTCTACTCTCCCAAATATTGCATGACCGTGGGGATTATTTAAACGAATGCTCAAGAGGCTTTGCTTCCAAAATGTGAACTTCCACTACCACACTTCTTATTTAGATCATTTCTACCCTTTCTCTCCATTCCAATGTATTTCTTTAAACCAGAATTGTGAAGTCAATATTCCTGCATCCTGGGATGTCACGTTCAGCACTTCATTAATCTCTGAGATTCTTTCTTTGCTGAGGGACCGTGATTGTGGGCTAATTACCCAGCAACCAGTGGTAAAGTAATTTGAATTTAAATCTCTTAGTATTTCTTTCCTTGGGAATTTATTTAGTCTATCCTTCTTTGATGTTTTAGAGAATATGTTAAGACAGTAAAAGGAGAAAGAGGAAGATAAGTTTCTGTCTGATTAAGAGGTGGTAGTGTTTCTTGCATTTTAGATTTCAGATCTGAGGTCTTTACACCTTGTATCTAGTCTTCCTAATGGGCTTTGAGGTTTAGTCATCTTTAATGAGGAGGGATATCTTGAATGTTTTTGTTTCTCCCAGGTAAATGTATTAAGAGAAAAAATAAACGTCATTTCATACTTTCATGTTAATTTTTAAAATGACAATCGGCCATTCATTCAACCATTCCTCATCAAACTTTTCTAAATTTTAAGTCATTAAAATTAATGTCGATTAAATAGTGGATCAATATTTCCAATCATGGGCATATTTATTTTGGATCACATATATGACAAAATGATTATACTTTTAAATATATTTGTGCAGATTTTGTAGTGCTTCTGGGTCCTTTGCATAATGAGCTTAGGTATGCTTTGCAGGACTTGGTGGAAGGTAATGGTGGTAGAAGTTTATAGGGGTTACCTGGCTTTTCCAACAAGTTGCTGTCATTCCTCTATATCTGATGCCAAGTCACTGGGCCAGGAAAACCATTCCTGGGCAAAGTCGGAGCAAACCAGGGACATGTTGGTATCCTCTTACTGAGTGCTCCAAAGACAGCTAAACTATAGTACCATATTTGCCGCATTCTTATGTATGGAGGGGCAGAGGGGACTTGCACGTGGTGAAAGTCTCTGTACAAAATTACATCAGTTCTTCACTTTATAGTCAGCATAATCATTTCTCAACCAGTGGTTTTCAAGGGTCAAAGGAAGAAAGATGGTTTAAAGACTTGAGAATGATTTGTAGTGTCAAAAATGCTTTCCAAATGAGCTATGCATTTTACTGCCTGGGGGAGAAATGGGCACTTGCAAAACAGCTATCAAATAAGCAGCAAAATTTTCATGTAGAATTGGGATTTCCACCAGGAATGACGATAAATATTAATGGCATCTTCCAGTTACTCAGTAGAAGTGCACTCACTCATGACTAACTTGAAGTAATTGAGGAGGAAGTCAGTTTCAATCTAATAAAGGTTCGAATTGCAGAATACTTTCTGGCAAATAAAAGTCATATTACATGTCTCCTAGCCCGGTAGAAGTCCTTTTATGAAAGGAGAGGGGAGTCTGTATTGGCATACCAAAGCCGTAACCTAACATCCTTCAGAAGGAACTCTTTATGAGTTCTCTTAAATAACCCTCGAGATTTTCTGTGTATGTTACAAATTAGCTTAAGAAATCTTTCCTATAGCTGGCATAGCCTTTGAACCGACCACCAGAAATTGGGCTTTCATATTCGTACAACTCAATTGGTATCCTGGTATCTTGGTGTATTTAAAATTAAGGGGATTAGAAAGCAAAATGCATAATAAGAATGCCAAGATTAATCCTTAACGTTGTGTTAGTCTTCATTCGAAGAAGTTGTCTTCTGTAACATCCCATGGGTTAGAACAAATTTGCCAGGTGTTCAGAGGTCCTGAAAATAAATTGACAACACTGAGGTCAACCTAAAACCCATCGACTATACACGTTAGAATAGTTTCTTTGTCACCTTCACTGGTGACTTCCGATGTAATTAAAAACCGCTTTAAAACTGAATCCATAATGTCATCAACTGCACATTGCCAGGACTGTGAGGCTACCTTAGGATGCAGTTAGAGCGAGGCTAAGTCAGGTGAACCTCAAGAATTATCAGTAGATGTGGGTGAGCCCCTGAAAACGGGCAACTGCTATCATATGTCACACTTCTCATCTCTTTCGCAACAGAGCCACATAAAAGGAAAATGGAGGGGCGTTTTAATGGCCACAGCTGCCATTTTTGTGTAGACCTAAATTTACTTGTTATACCCTGATGTATATTCATGTCTGCAAACCACACTTGAAAGAAAACTAATGACGTCAACTTCTGCAGACACTAAACAGTGGGAGATTTTGTACATGATTTTAGACCTTTCTCTGCACTCAGTTTTTCCTTTGTAGAATCTATGCACACGGCATCTTCCTTCTACTTTTTGTTTGATGAACCTCTTTGCTTGTGAGAGAAAAAGGGAGTCAATAGAGTAGATATTTTTTTCTTTTTTTCAAACCAAAAAACAGGTTTGGATGGGGTCTTTTTTCTTCCTTAAATAACTTCTTTGAATGTATTTTTTAACATTCAAACTCTCAGCTGGTGATATTTCTGCTATTATGAAGCCCACCCTTTTCTCTCCTCAGTTCCATCCTGTTCCTTCATGTTCTGTAGCATTGCTGTGGTGGTAATCCCAGCTTATAGTTATTTGTCTCCCATTTAGCCACAAGGTGTAAATTTGCTAACTGAAAAGGCGTGCTCTGACAGTTAATCTCGGTGTATGTCTAAAGGCTGAGCTTGCTGCCCTGGAAAATTTCCCTGGGGGATTGCTTTGTAGAATGTGAGGCCATTTGTTGAGCTGTCTGATATGGAAGGAGAGAAAATGAAAGGACCCGCCAGAGAGAAGAGGGATCATACAAAGCCTTGCAGAACAAAGAGGGAAATCAAAGGACAATTTCCGGTCCACTCCAGTCCTGCAAGCATATTCTTGGGAACTAGGGCATCAGAGATATTTTCCTATTAATATTTTTAGAGAAGTTGCTGAGAGAAAGCCCCAAATCAGAGGGGTATGGCAAATTTAGTGATGCCCACAGGCTGTGCTCAGAAATCACCACCAACCCAAAACCCTTCCGTGTCTGAGACTCACAAGTTCTTCAAGAGTCTATAAAAATGTTTGGAACCAAAAGGGGAAAAAACACATTGGTATTGATTCCAGAATCTAAAAAAGGTATCTACAAAAATCAAGATGACTAAATGTTTCACTGAATGTCTACAAAATATTTAATATTAACCTCATTGAGTATTAAATGTTACCTTCTTAAAAATTGCATTACATGTGAAAACAAATAGTGAATTTAATTTTTTTCATTTTGCAAGGTTTTGAGCATGCCAATAATAATTTAAATGAGCCACACATAGCCAATAATTTGAAATTCAAAATGATAAGAATCTCTCTACTTTTTTACACAAAAATGTATATTTTATGTGGGATGTGGGGGCATCTTAACATCTTTATATGATGTGTGTGGTAGGACCGATAAAAGAAAGCGTAGAGCACGTTAAAGTTTTTAAAACAGCTCTGCATCCAAGGGTATGATTATTCCTGAAGACAGACATCTGCTCAGACTTTAATGGGGAGGACCAGAAGGCAAGCCAAGGGAAAGGTTCTGGTTTGTTCTTGTTGTCTGCACCTGTAGTTGGCATGAGGAAATTCACAAGGCACCTGTACTTCATTAGGAAGCTCAAGGATGGTGCCTCAGTTCTGGAGAAGAAGGAAAGCTCATCTTGAGCTGAGCACACAAAGCCATCTAGTTAGGTCATGTTGACTGAATTCCACTGTCCTTTTTTCTGAGTTGTGTTCTCTCCCAGCAGATGACCAGGCCCTCATGTGCCTTTGTGGCCTAATTCACATTTTCCAAGTTAAAGAGATTTATATTTTTAAAACAGAAAACTTGAGACGGTAGGAATGGGAGAGATGATAGATTATCTGAATTCCATGTGTGATGATCCTAGCCTTTAATTCAGTGGCCTAACTTCTTCAAGCTTTATTTTACTCACCAAACACGGGGCAATGAATGCTGTCTACCAACATTCATTGCCCCGTGCATGGTGAGTGAAAGCATTTGATCATTTCTTATCAAAGAAAATGATATTTCTTTGCAACCCCATCCCTCAGTAGTAACTACTAATAACAGTTGGGTATAGTTCTTGCAAAAAACTTTTCTTTACGTACGTGCACTTAGGTATTATTACTGTCTTTTTATGAGATGAGACAATAGTAAGTAAGGTTTAAAAAAATGTTTTTCACTTAACAGTGTATCTTAGGTATTTTCCAGGTTAGTCCATGTGAACTTACCTCAGTCATTTTTAATGATCACATGGTATTTCAATGCATGGCTGGACCACAGTTGATTGAACTATTCTGTATTGCCGGGCACTTGGGTTGGGCATTCAACTTTGACCTTTCAGGAGAATGAATCAGGTGCCTACCTACATAAATCATTATATACTGCCCAGAAATACATGCCCTCAACTCCTTGTTTTGGCTTAATTCATCCCAGAGTAGAAAGAACCAAATCTTAGCCTATGCTGATACTTGTTGTTAAATGTAAATGCTGTATGTGATTCCTCATTTATTTATTTCTTTCTCTTCTGTTTTTGCCTTTTTCCTCTTATGCAGTCATCTGCAGCCAGGGACAAGGACGAATCGGCCCTACCGGTAGGAAGCAGTGGCCCTGACTCTACCTACTCATGTGCCCGTGGAGAGTGTGGGGCGGGGATGGGAAAAAGAGGGGCTTGTGTGCTCAACCAATCATCCTCTCCCTTGGAATACTTAAACGGTTCAACCCCTGGAGTGTGTCCTGCAATTTGTGAAGACTGAATTCTGACATTCACTGACAAATTATTTTCTGGGACTAGGTTTCGTAAGTTTGAATTCTCTCTTCCATTTGGAATGAATTTTCATAGGAGGCAAAAAAGTGAGATCTTTCCAAATTGCATTCCAAGGGATGTTGAGCTGATATTTGGGGATAGTGTGGAATCTAATGCTTGATATCTGTTTCCTTTGTGTTATCTGCATGCACATATTCTTTGATTGGAAATTTCTTTTGGTCCTGTCAAAAGAAATGCTGCATGAGTCCTATGTATTCAATATATACATCATGCCCACAAGAATGCTTGAAGTTGTTCTGTAGATAGAATCCTATTCTAATGAAGATCTCCAAAACAGAGTTGGTTTAGGGTGTAGCACTTTCCAAACGTGTTTAACCATGGAGTTTGTCATGGGACATTTTTGGAGAAAACCCCTTTGTGGGTATGGAGTGTGATGAAATCTTTTGGAAGAAAAACCCTACAACAATAGAGAGTTGGAATACATCGTGAAAAATTGTATTTTATTTTTACTGGTCCCCAGAAAGATTTAATGTCAAGCCTTTGTGACAAAAGTTCAATAAGAGATTAATTTCCTTATATCACCATACCTTCCCTCCCAGATGTCCCAGAATAAGAACCATAGCAACACATTAATATCAATAACCACATTTTCCAGTTTTTACTCAATTAATACATCACATTTTATATTGTGCAGCATGGTAAGAAAATGACCTTCAGAGTTTTTGTGCTTAGAAATCAAGCAGTGATCACACTTCACCTCCCTTCGGGTCTCCTAATCTTACTCCTAAAATATTTTGAAACTTAATCATCTGAATCCTCTCTAGCTAACACAGTGCATCAAAAAAGAGTACAGACTTTTAAAGCTAAAAGGACAAGTGACGATAATGCCTATAGTCTTCCTCATGTCATGCTCAGAGCAGAGACTTACGACATTCATTGAGCGCCCATAGGATATGCCTGATCTGGGACAAGGATATGGATGCAGATCCAGTCTTTTCCTTTGAGGAGCCATAATCCGTTTCACCATTAAGACACCATAATCCCCTCTAATTCTTCTCCAACCCTGTTGAACTAGAAAGATTATTTCCAATAGACTATCAATTGCAGAAAAATCACACTAAGAAAGTCAGATTTCTCCTGAAGTCTTATAGTGAGATTTTACCTACACTTTAAGCTCACTTACAGGGTTTATGTCTGTCTCCAAACGTGTAGGTCACGATTGTTAACAAGTATTTTACAAAGCGAGGGAGATACAGGCAATAGTATGGAAACACTACCCGAGTTAGTCACGTTAAACAGATTTTTGTAGTGTTAGACTGAGTGTATCTTGAGATTCTAAACGTGAGTTGGTCTAGGGTGTAACCCTTTCCAAACGTATTTAACCAGGAGTCTTTTATGGGATATTTTTGGAGAACCCCCCATTCCACCTTTTGTGGGTCTGGAGTGTGATGAAATATTTTGGAAAACCCTATAATGTAGAGGGTTGGAATACATCATGAAAAATCATATTTTATTTTTACCAGACCCCAGAAAAATTTCATGTCAAGCTTTTGTGCCAAAAGTTCAATAATTTCCTTGTATTACAATAGTTTCCTCCCCTAAAATCTATCTACAAGGCCTGGCTGCCTCTGAGCATCTTCACCTGTGACAATCCACACAAAACCAACCAAGAAAGAGAAAGTTCTCATTCAGGATAAAAATCTGTCAAAATATAGAGAATTGAGGTTTTTATAGATTGTTTTGAGGATAAAAATAGTCTGTTGGTAACCTTATCTCTAGAAGCTCATTCTTATTCTCTCACCTATCAATTCCATTTATTTGGCCAAAAGATCACAATTAGTAGGAGTTGGTGCAAAAGGGGCCCTCCTCAAAATCAGGCAGGTTCCCTGTGGATTCATGAAAACAGGTCTTGTCTCTTCAGATCTCGCTTAACATAGCCCATAGTGCTTTCTAGATCAGAACTGTGATCCCAGGATAGAGATGAGGTACCCCAGGAGATGTGCAAGGTGATCCTTTGGAAAGCCAGGATAAAATATTAGCACCTCTACCATTCACTTCCTTTATCATTCTTCTTAACTTGTTTTCAAAAACGTTTATATATGTTCACATTTTAGTATTAATATGCATGTCTACATAGATATGAGTATAGACACAATTATAGATATAGATGTGGATATAGATACACATACACACCCTTTAAAATTTCACTGACAGCCGGGCTCAGTGACTCAGCCTGTAATCCCAGCACTTTGGTAGACCGAGGCGAGTGGGTTGCCTGAGCCCGCGGATTTGAGACCAGCCCTGGCAACTTGGCAAGACCTCATCTCTACAATAAATCAAAAATTAGCTGGGGTGTGGTAGCACGTGACTGTAGTTCTGGCTACTTGGAAGGCAGAAGGATTGCCTGAGCCCAGCAGGTCAGTGCTGCGGTGGCCGTGAATGTGCCACTGCATTCCAGCCTAGGCCACGGAGTGAAACTCCAACCTAAAAAAAAAAAAAAAATTTACTGACATGGGATGCACAATCCAAAAATTGAGAGACCACCTCCTAGTTTGGACAACAGTCTTTTAGAAAAGCAGATCTCATATCGCTTCCTTCTAGCCTCCGGTTTTTGTCTGTATGACCTTGCCTCCTCATTTCACTCCTCCGAGACAAAGTTTCTTCATCTGCCAAAAGGGAATAATAACAGTACTTCCCAGGGTTCATTTTGAGAATGGGATAAATGCAGGGATGTGAATTCTATAGCATGTGGCCTGGCATTTTTGAAGCTCTTCAAAAAGTGGAAGATTTAGCAGGAAAGGACACGAGAAAGCCATTCCCTCGGGGGCTTTGGAAATGTGCTTTGAGAAATCTTTGTGTGTGATCAAGCGACAGAAACGAGTGGCCGCTAGACTAGGCGAGATGCTTGTCTAGAACGCACTGGCCTTTCATTTCTGAAACTAACCGCATCTTTGGTTTCTCTGCCCAGGCTAAGCCGCGTCTCCAGCGAGGTGGCAGTTCTGCTTCTCTCCACAACAGTCTCATGAGGAATAGCATCTTCCAGCTCATGATACACACCCTCGACCCGCTTGCCGAAGGTAAACATCAGGCTTTGGTTTGGGAGCTTGTTTGGGGGCGGGGGTGGGGAGGAGGGAGGAGGATGTCCAAAGGCTTCTCTGCGTAAGACATGGTTATGCGGTCGTCACACTCGCCTGCCGCCCTCCCCTTGTCTAGCATCTTCCGGGAGCAGCCCCGGCCCTTTGACGTGCGTATCTGCAACAGCTGAGTTCATGGTCGGTGGTTTGTGTACCAGGATTAGGATGTGAGGTCCGAGTGCTGTTTCTATCTTTTGATGTCTGCAGCATCTAGTTTGTGAGGAGGCAGAGAGGGCAAAAAAGGTTTCCCTCCCCTCCAGCGAAAGGAACAGATCTCTTTTATCATTATTTCTAAATTTCGGAACAAAATGTGTGTGAAGATAAATTGTGCATCTTTCAAAAGAGACAAAGAACTCCATGATTCAGAAGGGCCATGAGTTGTTTTGAGAGTGATGTTCATGGCAGAATATCGTTACTGTACTGATTCTTTGGCGATTGGAGGGTGGGAGGCGAGCATTTACACAACCAAAGGGCTGTCTCTCAGAGAACTGCTTGGGGTCTGTCACTGGTGACCCAAAAGGCCAGGTTTACCTCCCAGGGTTATCCTGTGAACCATCATAAACAATCCAGTATCGTGTACTTACAGTGTTACTGAGTCACAATGAACTCCAACACATCGTGTTTCTTCAATTGCATAAGTACCCTAAAAAATTAGTTTTTCGAGTCGATAGATATCTGATGTGTCAAATAAATATTAGTTTTGCCACTAATAAGGGCAAAAGGGGTTTAAATATAACCAAATCCATTCTCCCTGCATCCCTGGACCTTATAATTGGGTCTGTTGTTACACAGTAGCTAATATAGCTTGGGAAACAGGTATGTGCCACTGAACGATCCCAGCAGATCTGATTGCCAAATCATGTCACGTAAATGTCAGCTCTGTCTAACTCAGTATCAAGCTTTGCCAAAGAATTTCAAGGGTACAGCCAATCAAGAAATTCACATGATGTAAAGAAAAATCTGGGACATAAGAGTGGTTCCCCAGGTCCTATCTTCCTCATGGGACACATATGTGTCATCCAGAATAAGAGGTGAGGATCACAGGGTCACCCCTCACTGCAGAGGATGGGGCATTTCAATTATGAAACATCTCCTTATCATACCCTAGAGAGCTGTAGAGCTGACACAATATTTTCCAAGGAGCCCTGCTTCATTCATAGGTCCTGGATTCAGTCTACTAGAGGCAATCCTTAGTGAGGGACATTCTAAATATTATCACTCCATTTGCCCAGAGGTTCATTTGGCAAAGGAGATTAGACCTAGTCACCAGCCTTCTTTTCTTTTTCCTGGGGTACACCCTCAGAGAAGGGAGGAGAGGAAGCACTCAGGCCAACTGCTTTAACTACTCCCTTCCTCCACTAAGCAGTTGTGTGACTTTGGGCGAGTGGGGGTCTCTCTAGTATTTGGTTTCACCATCTATAGTAAGAGTTATCTTTGGCACACTACAGTTGACAAAGCTTTTTCACACCTGTAAACTTACTCTTCACAATAACAGTTCGTAGCGAACATGATTGTTCTCCTTTCCCAAAATATCGTACCACCAGCATAGATCTCAAACTTATCCACTGCTCTCTCTCTCTCTGCCAGCACTTTGCTCCAAGCCTTCTTCATCACTTGCCTGGATTCCTGCAGTAGCTTCTAGCTATGTTCCGTGGAACAGCCCAAGTAATCTTCTTTAAAAGTAAATCAGGCTGTGTCATTCCTGCTTATGGCTTTCTGGGGCTCTTAGGAAGTTGTGAAACTCCTCCCGTGGTCTGGGTTATCTGTCTTTTGCTCCAAACTCAATCTCAGGCACACAGACACCTCTTCCCCGCCTCATGCCTTTGCATTGACTGTTCCCGCCACCAGAACGCGCTTCCTTTCCCCATTCTCTTCCATTTTTCCCACTTCACTCCTGCCTATTTTTCAGCACTGTCTAAATGACACTTCCTGAGCATCCAGCACAAATCAGGACCTCCCATCCCTGTCTCTCAGCGCACCCTTTCATTTTTCTTCATTGCTCACCTGACAATTTGTGTGATTATGTGTGTGTGGCCTGTCTCTACCAGGATACAAGGAGTTTCTTGTGAGCAGGAACTTTATTTTATTTGCCAGCTGTCCGCAAAGCCCAGAAGAGTACCTGACACATGGTCCCTGTTAAGGCTGGGAAAGATGAAGCAACTTGGCCAAAGGCATGATATTGACCTGATCGTCACACCATTCCAGTCTCTAAAGCCACATGGTTTTAAGATGGTAGATGAATTGTATCTTATCTGTCTTGAGTCACCATATTCTCTATCCCATTGCCCTGGAGGACAATGTGAGAGGAAAAAAAGAATAATTGTATGTGCTCCAACTCAATTATAATCAAGCAACTGAGTATGTTTATTTTGGGGGAAAGCAGCGTTATGTAGTACTTGAGAGGGAACACTCCAGAACCAGACTCTGGATCCAGATCTCAGTTCTTGCATGTACTAGCTGTGTGACATTAGACAAGTTACTTAATCTCTCTGAGCCTTGGTTTCCTCATCTGTAAAATCAGGATGACATATAATGATGTCTACATTGTAGGTTGTCGTAAGGTGCAAGAGTATATATAAGCAAATCACTAATCACTCTGCCTAGCACCTATAACTACTATATTCAGGTTTGGAATTATTCTGTTTCATTATTTTGAAAAATAATACAAACCATGATTTTGTTTTTTTTTTTTTTTTGAGTTGGAGTCTCACTCTGTCACCCAGGCTGGAGTGCAGTGGCATGCTCATGGCCACCGCAGCCTTAGCCTGCTGGGCTCAGGCTGTCCTTCCACCTCACCCTTCCAAGTAGCGGGAACTACAGGCACGCACCACCACGCCCAGCTAATTTTTTGATTTATTGTAGAGAAGACGTCTCGCCAAGTTGCCCAGGCTGATCTTGAGCCCCTGGGTTCAGTCCATCCTCTCACCTCAGCCTCCCAAAGTTCTGGGATTGCAGGCTTGAGCCACTGCACCTGGCCAACCCATGATTTTTTAATTCAAAATATTCAAAAAGTTATAGTGAAAAAAAATGTCTTCCTCCTCTTAATTTTCTCCCATTCCCCAATTCTCCACAGAGGAAACCACAGATACCAGTTTCCTGGGTCTCATTCTAGAGATGTTCTATCATATACAATCGTGTGTGTGTGTGTGTGTGTGTGTGTGTGTGTGTGTGTGTGTGTGTGTGTGTGTGTGTGTTGTGTGTGTTGTGTGTGTGTATGTCCTTGCCCTCAGGTTTCAACAGTCTAAATTTCTCTGTCTTTTGTTTGGAAGAACTCAATTTCTGGAAGAGCTTGTTTTTGTTTTCTCAGTTTGGAGGGGAGGTCATGTTTTGCTTCTGTGAGATAAGAGAAAGTGAATCTAGGTTGTCTGGGAGTTAGGCCATCAGTGATTTTCCAAAACACCTGGCCCTTGTGGTGCCGCGCTACAATTAAACTGTTCCTGCTGCAGCAAGATGTGCCTTCTGAATCCAGGCACCTGCTTTCAAGGTGAAACCTCTCCCCGAAAGACGTGGAGGGCTCCAGTGATGTGAATCTGAGAGATACCGAGAGCCATAATCAGCTCTGGACTCGAGTGATTAGGAAATATGGAAAGCACTTCAGTGCTTTTAAATTGCTCCATAGCACGCGGCCAAGAAAACAGATTGCTCTGGTATTTTCCCCCCCAAATTCACAATCACTTTCCAGTCCAAGAACAGCCAAAAAAATTAACCTGCGGCTCTCAGAAATAGTCATCTCTCTTTTCGTTCGCATCTAATCACTTGAATTCACACGTCCTCGTGCCAAACTGCCACCTTTTAACAATGTGAAGTGTGCTAGTGACATCAGCAGGTTGACAGCACGAACGCTGCAGTCAGCAGCCTCCCTGTCACACGAAAGGACAATTCACTGATGTCACCAGTGCTCACCTGGCTGAGTAACACATTGGCAGCACTGGCATACGATCTGTGTACACAAAGGGAAGTGTTCGGCTTCATTTGGAAACAGCCTCCAAGACAGATGGGCTGTGGAAACACATTTCCCTTTGTCTCGTCTGTGCCACTCAGGTGCCAAATTCCAGCGATGGAGCCCTCACTAAAAGACTTCACTAGTAGTTTGGATCGGCCTCTGAGCCTGAGTCGCAAGATCCAGCAGGGTGTGTGTTTCACTTATCTATTGATGTGTAACAAAACACTCCAAGACTTAGTGACTTAAAACTACCACTTGATCATTGCCCGTGATTTTATGGATCGGGAATGTGGGCAGGGATAGGCTGGGTGATTCTTCTGTTCTATGTGGCATCATTGGAGGTTATGTGACGATATTCAGCTGGTGGAGGGATGGGTAAGAAGGTGTGAAAGGGTCTCACACATCTGGCACCTAGTAGGAAGGCACAGCTGGAAGGCTGGGCTCAGCTGGGCTCCCTGGCTCTCTATGCTGTTTCAGGACCTTTCCTGAAAGGATAGACTTCCATGTGGCAAACCTTCCAGGAGGCCTATACAGAAGAAGCTGCAAGGCTTTATATGACCTAGGCTGGCAAGTCCCAGGATGTCACTTCTACTGCAATTAGTCAAGACTCCAGGGGATAAGAATGAGACGCCACCTCTCAATGGGAAGAATGCCAGAGAATTTGAAACCACCTTGCACCTAACCTGCACCACCGATCGGTTCAGCTGTTTATTGTCCATGGGCATGCTCTGGGCAGACCACAGTGTATGGAAGCACACAGTTGGCCTGACCAGGTGAAGGCTTGGTCCAAACAAAGCTGAGCAGTGCCTTCCCAGGGACACACATTTCTCAGTCAGACACTGTTCATGAAAAGAAAGAATCTGCTTAAGGCCCGTATGAATGTTTGAAATGAAGATTTTGTTTCTTTTATAGGAAAGTCTTAGAGAACTAGAATAACAAGTCTTTGAGATCACAAGATGGCTGTCTGAATCGATCTTTCTCATAAACCTAGTAGAATTTT